CACATGCAGTGGTTTAGCGATTCGATTCAAAATGGCTGACTGGCAGCCATCTTGTTTTTTGAAAATGTTGTATTTTGAACATGCTTTGTCTGTTGTCATTTAAACTTGGTACATAGATTATACATGTCCGGATACATGTCCATGGCGATTTATTTCGCAATTGGATCAAAGATGGTCGACTGGCAGGCATCTTGTTTTTGTTTTTTAATGCGGTATCTTGGACGTGCTCTGTCAGTTTTCATTCAAATTGGGCACATACATGTACTTTATACATGTTAAGATGCATGTCCATGACAATTTGTTTCAAAATCTGGTCAAGGATGGCTGATTGACAGCCATCTGACTTTTTGGCCTTACTACTATATTTCCACAATTTATGTACCATTTTCATTCGTATTTGGCACATACATCATACAGATGGCCGAATAACGGCTGTTTTTATTTTGGCCATATTACTACAATTCGAAACACGTGTTTTGATGTAAATAAACAATCTGTTGTATACGACACTTGGAACTCAAGTTTCAAGGACACGCTCGCGACAACCCTCTGCTTTAATATGACGAGCACAAAGAGAACATAACGGGGACTGTGTCATTTTCAATGACTTGTTGAAAGTTCATTTTGTCATTGTTGGCAGGCTGTTCCAAATTACCGATCCAGAATAATAGTAAAAAACAATCGTTTGATAAATTGTAATACACAACCAGTTTATTGTTTAAGAATTTCTGCATTTTAAAAAAGAAATAATAGCTCACTTTGTGGTAGGTGGTTTTTTCTTGTTTTTGTTTTGTTTTTAAATTCTGAAAATAAGTTTTTGTGAATGTTATCTGTAACACTACGATAAAGATTGTCCGTTTTCGACATTGCGAAATTCATTCGTTATTTGGGAGTAAAACATTGATCATTCAGAAATATATTAAAAATAATTCATAACAAAATGTCTTCCCTATGCACCAATAACTAATTGTCATAATTACCGATTACACAAGAACACTACCAAAAAGGATAATTTGCTGTAGTCACTATATGTTTGCCTTTTATTTGTTTTGAATTGTGACTGAAAGAAGCTGGATTAAATTACAAAATATGTAGTGTGTTCAACAACTCGTGTATGAACAATAACTTTAATAAATATGATTTTATTTGGTAAAAATACTGTATTTTTCTGCATAAAAATATAACAATGTCGAAAACGAAAAGTCCTTATCGCAATGTTCTGTACACAAAAAACTGAAAAATATTTAAGGTGCACTAACCCACCATAAGAATGTGGTGTTTCTTATGAAATTAGAATTTGTTTTTTTTTTTTTTGCTTTTTTTTCAATTTACACACATTCATACAATTTCACACATGGTTGTTTCAAAACAATAAACCAATAAGTTCCAACTCACAAAAAATATGAACCTCCCAGCAATTAGAAATGTGTTCCTAAAATTATCCGATGTATGTTTTTTTCTCAATATGATCTACTTAAGTAAACCAATTCATACTATATTCATAAAATATTATGTCATACAGTTGAGTTATTCAAAAACACAATTTGTATTTATGTAAATTAACACACATTCAGCGCTGTGCAGTAGTAACACATCCGATCGATGAATCTTTCAATTTTATCGTTTTTAGTATAATTAAGAAACACTCACTCAAAAATGTGGGTTTCTCTTGGTGTTTCCATTAATTAACTAACAGCCAGAACAATGGTCACAAGGCCAGCAATAGTATAATTATATGTATTTCTACATTTTAATGTGTGTTTACAATGATACAATTACCCCTTTCACAATTGGCGCCTCACTCGTGCGATAATTTTTTTTTTCGAAAATATATTTTCCGTCCTGTTGTAGAAGTGTTGTCTTTGAGTCGCAAACAGTATATAAAATCGTACGAGAGGTGAACGACCACTGCACCAGGATACAACAGTCGTGAGACGTAATCGTGCGATTATTTTCATGTTTCCGGGTGCAACAGTCGTACAACGGCTGCAACGGTTGAACGATGATGCGACCAAGTCGCTAGCTGCAGTTCTGCAGCTACCAAGTCGCACGACATATGCGTTTTGTAGCGCCATATGTCGCGCGACCTAGCAACCCAATGTACGACTACTACAACCGATCGTACAAGGCTACGACCCATTGTGCGACACACCGCACCACCTGTCGCGCGAGGTGTTGGCCTATACGACACGCGATGCGACTTTCTTCATTACAACCGCAGATGCCTGACGAGACGCTGCTACAGTGA